CATGGCCCAGTGGCTGAGCGTCAACCTATGCACCAGGAGATCACAATTGGATTCCCAGTCAGGGCACATGCCTAGGTTGCGGACTCGATCCCCTGTGTGGGCGTGCAGGAGGCAGCGGATCAGTCACTCTCTTCCATCATTGAGATCAATGTCTCCTTCTTTCCTCTCTGAAATGAATAGAAATATATATATTTTTAGCCCTAACCGGTTTGGTTCAGTGGATAGAGCGTTGGCCTACGGACTGAAGAGTCCCAGGTTCGATTCCGGTCAAGGGCATGTACCTTGGTTGCAGGCACATCCCCAGTAGGGGGTGTGCAGGAAGCAGCTGATCGATGTTTCTCATGGATGTTTCTAACTCGCTATCCCCCTCCCTTTCTCTCTGTAAAAAATCAATAAAATATATTTGTTAAAAAAAAGAAGTATATTTTTTTAAAACAGAAGAAAATGGTGACATATCTTAGTTACTTGATATGTACTTTCCTTAGACCAGAGATGCCCTTGGCAAATCTGTGCAAAAGTTAGAATTGGTGAATCTGCCTGTCTTTATGGTATTTAGCCTGTGGTGGTCAGGTGAATCTAAGAAGGGGCTCAGATTAAGTGTTGAATGGGATTGAGCTGGATTGATGGGATTGAATGGGACTCTGGGGCTCTAGTTGAAAGAGAGTTGGTTTTGGTTCCAGAAGACCCCAACTTTGTACTCTATGTGTCTGTGACCACAGAGCCTGTGTGCTGGCAGCTGCTGTGCTTGAGGGTTGGTCAGTGTATCACGGGGCATCGATGATGCTGGTGTCATAAAATGAGTCAGGAAATGTTCCCTCTTCTATTTTCTAGAAGAGTTTGTGTGTAATTGGAGTTTTGTGTTTTTATAATATTTGATAGAATTTACCATCTGGGTCTAGAGGTTTCTTTTTTGGAAGATTTTAACTGAATTCAATTTCATTTAAGTTGTCAAATTTATGTGCATAGAGTTTTTCATTATTAATATTTTAATATATGTGGAGTCTGAAGTGATACTCTTCCCATTGCTCATACTAGTCATTTGTGTCTTCCATTTCTTTTTTCTTTGTTATTGTTGCTAGAAGTTTAACTGTTTTGTTAATCTTTCTTCAAAGAACTAGCTTTATTGGATTTATTAATTTCCTCTATTGCTTTTCTCTTTTTAATCCTAGTTTCTGTCTTATCTCTATTGTTTCTTTTTTTTTTTTTTTTTGCAATTGCTTTCTCTTTTTCTAGTTTCTTTTTTTCTTTTTTTTACACAAACAGTTATTTAAGGCCTTTTATTAACAGGTGCTTGCAGTTTGTTAAATTTTTATTACAAATTAAACATAAGGTCCTTAAAAATCTTAATTTGACCAAATATGAAACAATTTTAAAAACCTTTAAAGATATATTAAGAAAAAACCAGAATTTTAAGAAATAAAAACCTCGTTTGTCATTACCAAAATGAGATTTCTACAGGTAAAAATAATAAAAACCCCATGCTGTATAGATAATGCGGATAGTCCTAGTTGTCTGGTTAACGGGCAAAAAGCAAGCACTGAAGGCAGAGGTAGGGAACATCCAGCCTGCAGGTCGTGTAAGGCCTGCGAAATCATTTGGGCTGGCCCTGCCGAGGCATTAGGGGTGAGTTAAATGTTTGACCAAATGTAGCAGGCGAATTTTTAAGTTGGTAATTTTGTATGGCCTGCAAATGATGTTAATAAATATCCAAATGGCCATTGGGAGAAAAAAGTTTCCCCACTTTTAGACCCTAGCCTAAGGTCTTCAGTTCTAATCTTTTGTTCATTTCTTATTGCTGAATTTCATATTCATTTCTTCTTGTTGGATGACTAAACCGGATGGTAGAGATGGTAAGCTAGCATTTATTCACCCCCGCTCTGCTCAGCCTTGGGAGCGGATGAATTCTGGACCGGTGGATCAGCTGCTTTTGTCTCTTTGCCATCTTGTGGTTTAGCATTTTCTTATCTACTTCATTGTTGTTCTTTCTAGGCTGTTTTGGTGAGGAGGACCCCAGTTAATCATGGTCTGTAGCTCTAATACATATTCTGTCTCACTGGCCCACCTTGTTCTCCTGCACTCTGGTTGTCAGCACCCGCCATCACTTCTCCTTGCCTCTGAGGGTTGGAATACTGCGGTCGATGCCCATAGGGTGTCCGCATGTAGTAAGGTGGGAACTGTTGCCTGCAGTAGGGCAGGTGCTGTTGGGCCTGGCCTTTGGGAGCACTCTTGGATCTCTCATTCTTCCCCCCACTCTCACTGTTCAGGTAGTTTGTGGTATTTGCACAGAGGACCCCTGCAAGGTGGATAGTGTCTGGAATAGTTACTGTCTGCTGCATATTTACTGCCTTGCCTGTTTCCTGGAACTCCACCAGGGCCTGTAACATTTGCTGCCTCCACACCCTTTTCTCCTTCAACAACATCAAACTCCACAATCTCTGCACCTCTTACACTGCAAAGGTACTTCCTGGGGTTATTCTTCTTTATGGCAGTCTGGTGTACAAATACATCTTCCTTGGTGTCAGTCCTGCTGATGAAGCCATATCTGTTTCTTACATTGAACCATTTTACTGTTCCCAAAACCTTTTATTTTTATTTTTATTGTTGAAAGTATTATATATGTCCCCCCTTTTCCCCATTGCCCCCCTCCAGCCTACACCCGTCCCAGGCACTCACCACCCAACTGTCTGTGTCCATGAGTTCTGTATATACGCATACAAGGTCTTTGGTTGATTACCTCCCATCCACTCACCCTCCCTCACCTTCCGTCTGAGATTCCGCACTCTGTTCCATGCTTCCATGTCTCTGGATCCACTCCATTTATCAGCTTATTTTGTTATTTAGATTCCACATGTGAGTGAGATCATGTGATACTTGTCTTCCTCTGACTTATTTCACTTAGCATGATGCTCTCCACGTCCCTCCATGCTGTCTCAAAGGGTAAGAGATCCTTCTTTTTTACTGCTGCATAGTATTCCATGGTGTAAATGTACCACAGCTTTTTTATCCACTCATCTGCTGATGGGCACTTAGGCTATTTCCAGAACTTAACTATTATAATTTGTGCTGCTATGAACATAGGGGTGCATACATTCTTTCTGATTGGTGTTTCAGGTTTCTTAGGATATATTTCTGGAAGTGGAATCTAATGGCTGATCCATATTTACTTTTTTGAGGAAACTCCATACTGTTTTCCATAATGGCTGCACCATTCTGCATTCCCAACAGCAGTGTATTAGGGTTCCCTTTTCTCTATACCCTCGCCAGCATTTGTGATTTGTTGATGGTAGCCATTCTGACAGGTGTGAGGTAATACCTCATTGTCATTTTAATTTGCATCTCTCTAATGATCAGTGACTTTGAGCATTTTTTCTTGGTCATCTGTATGTCCTCTTTGGAGAAATGTCTATTTAGGTCCTTAGTCCATTTTTTAATTGAACTGTTTATCTGCCTTTTTTTAAGTTGTATGAGTTCCTTATATATTTTGGATATTCACCCTTTATAAGGTGTATCATTGCCAAATGTTCTCCCGTACAGTGGGCTCCCTTTTCGTTTCCCAAAACCTTCCTGTCCCTGCCAGCAGGCACCGCTGATGTGAGGCCGCCAGGACTTCCATTCCCTGCACCACTGCTCATGGTGCCAGGCTTGGTGTGGGCAGCCCTGAGGTGGAGGTGGCAGACTGCAGCAGCTGCAGCTCCTCCCGGTGTATGGTAACTAGGCCGACGGTGCTGGGGCTGCTCAGGGCTCTCTGGGGTCCACTCTCGGCTCCTAGTACCCATTGAACTGCTGGTTTCTTAAGTTGGAACTTTAGGTTATTGATTTGAGATCTTCTGTCTTTTCTAATATATGCATTTAATTATATAAACTTCCCTCTAAGCACTGCTTTAGCTGTACTCCCCCCTTGTTGGTGGGTTGTATTTTCATTCAGTTGAAAATATTTTATAATTTTCCTTAAGACATCTCCTTTGACTCATGGATTATTTATAAGTGTGATATTTATTTTCCAAAGGTTTAGAGATTTTTCTGTTATTGATTTCTAGCTTTTGGTCAGAAAACATGCTTGATACAATTTCAGTGTTGTTGTTGTTTTAATTTGTTAAGGTATGTTTTATGGCCCAGAATATGTGGTCCTGCTTGTTGAATGTTGGTTCTGCTGGTTTGGGCTGGAGTATAAATGTCAATTAGATGCAGATGGTTAAGTTCTTCCACAGCCTTGCTGGTGTTCTGACTACTCGTTCTCTTACTAAGTGAGGAGTGTTGGGTTCTCCAATAGGCCAGCAGTGGCTTACCAGAGGAACGGATCTGTGAGCTCACAGGGGCCTCCTCTGCAGGTGCTTTTCCTGGCACCATGGAAGCCCCTGCTCAGTTTCTTATAAAACCCAATCTCCCTACTACCCTTCACTGTGGTCACACTAGAGAAGTACTGAGCTTCCCTGCCTTCCACGACCACGTGAATTCCAGTGCCAGTGTCTCCTGGCTCCCAAGTCTTCCTCCTGGAGCCGCCCTGTCCGTTGACTGCTCCGTCAGCTTCCTTTTCACCAAGCAAAGTAGCACCTCCAAAAGGCTCTCCAGCAGGTGCTACCAACTCAGAGCTGCTCCAGTTGCTACAGGCAGGCACAGGCTGCTGCTGGCTTCTCCTGGGTTCCGTGGTTTGTCTGAGAAATGCCCTGGACACAGGATTTCACGGGAAGCCAAGAACATGGCTAATCCAGCCAGGTCCAAGCTCTGAGCCCTGGCCATTTACTCACATCTACAGTCTACAGGATGGAGCTATTTGAGGATGAAGAGATGACCCCCAGCCCCACCCAGGGCAGGGTGAGCTGAGGGAGCAGCTCTGATTGAGTTTCTGTGTTGAAAGCTGTGTTTCTCAATCACCCAACAATATGTTCAATTTCAGAAAAGCATGGTGGTCCTTAGGTCGGCCAGGGGCACAGGAAAGGCAGGTGGAGACCCCATCCTGGGAGGCGTTGCTCTGACCTGCACATTTCTTTCCCACATCACAGGTGACCCCAGGATTCAAGGAGAAGGAAGGGGAGCTCTTGGTCAGGGGACCCACTGTGTTCCGTGAATACTGGGGCAAACCAGAAGAAACGAAGAAAGCATTCACCTCAGATGGCTGGTTTAAAACAGGTAGGGGCTGGGCAGAGAGGGAGAGCCACCGGAGGAGGGGGCCTGAGGGGAGAGAAGGAGTGTGACGTGGCCACCCCAGGTTGTCACCACACCTGGACACCTCAGAATCTTCGTCAAGGGCAGAGACAGGGCTGGGGGTGCACTTGTGTCTCACATCTTTGTGGCTGTATCCCTTTCAGCCTCTGAGAGGAGGCTCCTGAGGCCGCAGTCCCCTCCTGGTGGTCCCATTGCCCATCTTGGGTCAGGACACGCACACCCCCTTCCAGTCACCACTGCACTCGAAGTAGGAGTTCCTCCTCACCCTCTTCCACCCACCCTCCCTCTTATTTACCCTCCCCAACTCAGGATCAAGTTGTGTGATGGAATGTGGTTTATTTGTGGTGTGGGTCATTCCTTTCCCTATTCCCTACTAAAGTCTGCACTCTGTGTCAGCTGCCCAAGCGAGCAAGTATAAACCTGTCATTATAACCTGGGGCCCCAGCGCTGGGCAGAAAAAGGCAGCACTGATGGAATGCTCTGGTTGCCACGCCCCGCCCCATACTGGCATCCTGTCACCTGTGACACACACCCAGAGCCTGATCTGAGGCACCTTCCATCTCCTGCCCCCGCCCGTCCCACATTCCTCCACCCTTCTGTCCCTCACCCTGTCCCCTTCTGTCCCTCCATCCCCCCACCTCCTTGGGCTCGGCAGACACTGGGATGTTTAGGTTTGCAGCTGCATGATTCCCTAGTGTGTGTGCTCATCCAAACACACACCAGAACATCGGGGGATTCTGGGTGGTTTCTCCTTTTCTTTTTGCCTGTTTGTATTTCTAAAACTTATATCTTGGACACACATTAGTTCATAATAATCTTAAGGAAGTATTTTCTAAAAGCAAGGCCTGTTTTCACATGTCATCAGATGTGGCCCCATGATCAGAAACGTGCCTTGATCCTTCTGTGAGAGCAGAGCTCAGAAGAAAGGAAGCCGCCGCAGGTGGTATGGGATGCCGCCGGGGGTCTATGTGCAAATAGGACGGGAGAGAGGGTGTGTAAGAGATGGCCATGGCCGTTAGCCTGGTGACCCCTGTGCCATGTGCTGCCTGGGGCTGACACTTGCACACATGTCATCTCAACAGGCTCAGGTCAGCGTGGATCTGTAGGGGGTGGATTCCATGTCCACTCTCTAGTCTGCTGCTGTCATGGGCCTGAGGTCACCAAGTGACAGAGCAGGGAGTTGTGTGGGCCCATCAAGTGGGGGCTTGAGGGTGAAGGGACAGATAGAAAGCCCTACTGGAGGGTATCAATGGCCCCCTTTCTGCCCCCATGCAGGTGGCACTTAGGGCTGGACTTGCTGATCCCAGCCAGTCCCATGTCCACCCTGTGGTCCCACAGCCATCATGGCTTTCTCTCTCACGTACCCTCAGAAGTGTATTTCCTAGCAGCTGTGGTTGGCATGTCCTGTCCCCCTGGTTCCTCCACACTGGGCAGAGAGCAGATTTGTGGAGGGTTCTGAAGGGTTTGCAGATCAGATATGTGTTGGCCCCCAGAACAGAGACCAGTGCCCCAGGAACCTGGCAGGAGAATTTGGGGTGCTGGTCAGTAGAGGGCCCCATTTTGGGGACTCAAGAATCCAGGTGACCTGTTTTGGGCCCTCCTATCTCTGCCTGTGACAGGATGTAGTCAGTACATTAACACACGCCCATCCGGTTTACCTATAAACATCTGCGTTAATACATGCCTGTCTCTCTATAATTGTCCTTCAAATGCAGATATTTAGGAAATACTACTTTTGAACTAATTGTGCTTTTTATGCATCCCTTCTTTAGCCATCTAAATGGTCCCAATTTGGAAACCTGACTTACTTTGTAGCCATCTTCTTTTATTTTAAAATTCAGATAAAAAGCTGCAGATATTTTTTCTTTAAAAGCACAGGAACCAAAACCCTGTGGATTTTGCCGTTAGCAGGGCTGACTGAGCACTGGGGCGCAGCCACGCAAAATGTGGGGCAGTCAGCGTTCAAACATTTTAGTCACTGCTCCTGATGAATATTTCAGTTGAAAAGGAATAGTATGCATTAATTATTGTAAAGAGATGTCTTTAGGAGAAAATGATTTTGAAATTCAGTTTAATTTCATTGTAATGCACTGCAAACAGGAAGGGAGTATGTGTGTTTAATTGGCTCTCGGGGGTGAGGCCTGGAAGCCGCATGCCTTTGTCACAGGCCATTAGCGATACAGACTGCATAATGAGAGCGCGCAATCAGCTCACAGCTGCCGGCTCCTACGGGGAGAGCATGATATTAAATAGAAATCAGGATAAATTAAACTTAACCCTTTCCCTAGCCAGCCCCTCCTGCCATTCAAATTCGAATTCTGGCATGAGCTGGCAGGTCCTCCTCCGACCAGTTCCTCTCAGTGGCCTCCTCCATGTCTAGATGACAGGAGACAAGCTGGCCACTTCCATTCCAGCTACTGTGGCCCTCCCTGCCCTGTGTGTGCCCGCCTCCTTCCCTGCAGCCTGGTTCTGCCAGGGAGCACACGTGGGGAGCTCCTTGTCAGCCCCCAGGGTTCCCAGCTGCCTCTCAGGGAAGAAATCAAAGCGCCCTCCCCCGACCCCACCCCAACACTTTCCTGACAGCCACAGTGCCTTTGGACTCTCTGAGTCCACCGAGCACTGCCACACCCTCAGAGAAGTTGGTCCACACACACAGGCGATTCTAGGACCCAGGTCTTCAGGGCTTTACATTGACCCTGCTGTCGGAGCTGAGGACATGGGGGTAAAGACACAGATGTGAGGACAGGGCTGAGACGAGGACGTGGGGAGGAGAGCACAGGCTGCACCTGAGAAAACAGAGATGAGGACACAGGGCCCAGGTGAGGACACGGAGACGCAGATGTGGGGAAACGAGGGCATGGGATGGAGGTGAGGACAGAGATGACAACAGGGATACGGGATGGCGCTGGGGCACGGGGACAGAGCTGAGCAAACACGTAGCTCCTATTGCCTTCGCGGTGCTTTCCCCTGAGCAGTTTTGTCATTTTAAAGAGACTGATAACTGAACATGAGGAAACAAAAATGGCATCTCTGATTATTTCAAAGAATATGCATCATACACTGTTAATGTTGAAAAGTGACATAGTAAATAGTCAACTCTATTTACCTAGTTTTAGATAAATGCATGTGTAGCAGGTACTTAGGTACCTGGGAGAAAGAGCCATGGGAAAATCACCAGAACATTGCCAGGGTGTCTGGTAGTGCCTCTTCCCTTTTTGTTCTGCAATGAGTACATGATACTATTATCAGAGGCAAACATTAAAAGCTATTTATTTAAGAAAACACATCTCCAGTAGGACAGCAGAAGAGAGAGCCTGATGTGGATTGGCTGGGCTGCCCAAGGTTTGCAGCCTCAGTGGAGCGTGGAAATTCTCTGAGGTGTCGCTCTAATCGAGAATCAGGGCTGACCATGCAGCCCAGGAAGTCAATTGCTCACAGAGCCAGTCAACTTCGAGCTAAGATGATGGGCAGGTCACAAAAAAGAAATACAACTAGCCAAAAAATACAGAAGACGTTTCATTTCCTAGTGATAAAAGAGAGCAACAGGGAAACAAAGATTGCATCCTTTTGACTAAACTGGCAAATTCTTAAAGAGCTGATGCTCAATGCAGTAAGGCCAGTGGGATTGTGTGGCCAGTGTTTCTATGAATCTATTTAAAGAAAAAAATTAGAGGTGGTCAAAAGTGGATGCCCAAAGATAGCTGTTGCAGAATTATTTATAGTGTGAGAAATTGGAACCACTTGCTCAGTGATGGGGAATGGTATGTACATTGTGACCCATCCAAACAGCAGAATAGTGTGAGACCTTAGAAATCTGATTTTCAAGACTAGTGGCATGAGGGAACTCTGCTAGTGTGTGTCATATACACATGTGTGCATGGGTGTCACATGTGGGCATGTTTGGCACAGAACTCCGACTCTTGCTATCGCTACATGATCTCATGTCTTCTTCTGTTTTCTCTCTGCTGGTACTTCCGCAGTAAGCTTGTTACTCTTATAAGCGCAGGTAAATACAAATGGTTTTTAAGTTTTACACTGAAGTTTAAGCCTTCTCGTGTTAAGGCCTCAGAATAGCACTCAGGAGTGACGTTTGCTCCGCTCACACCTTGCCAAGGCCTCTCACTCAGCTGCTCTGAGCTCTGATAGGTTTCTCCTCAAGGACTCCTTTTATTTTGACCAGTGAACCATAGTTAGGAATTAGGCAAAGGGTTGCAATACAGGGACCCGTGTCTCATGCTAGTGAGTGTGACGGCACATGGAACTGCAGGCTGTCACCACCTTCACATCTGGCCAAGAATGACCATCTCGTACCCAAGCCTCGCTTCTCCCTGGAAGACAGGTCCCTGTTCCAAAGACTCGGCTGTTCAGTCAGCAGCTGTCCAAGGGGTTCCCCGACTGTGCGATGCTGAGCCCGGCTGTGGCACCCATGGTCCCCTTTGTTGGTGGCACCTCCTGTGCGGGAGCTGTTGTGCTGTAGTCCTATCTCGCCTACAGCCGTCTCCTGTGTGTGCTTTATTTTTTCATGTCGCTGAGAAACACTTTGCTCCCGGTGGCCGTAAAGACACTCTCCTTCATTTTCTTCTGAAGCTCGTCAGACCTCGCTTTCACGAAGCTGAGTCTTCGATCCCCCTGGAAGTGGCTTTCGAGTGAAGCAACGTCATGGCCTGTGTCGGGCTCTGCTGCCCGCGGCTGCTCCTGGCCTCAGTGCTGTTCCTTTGGCCTTTTTTGTCTGCACTGGTCAGCCCCAGACCTCTGGGCAGAGGGTGAATGTTTTGAGTTTTTGTTTTTCATCAAAGTTGTACATCAGGGCTCAAAGGTGCCATTGGTTTCACCAGTTTGGGAACAATTACCAGTGGCCCCCAAGATGTGTTAGCTGTTTCTTTGCTATTGATCTCCGTGTCCTAACTGACTGCTAATACCGCCCACCCCATGGCCACAGCACTCTCATCAGCGGTTAGTGTGCA